AAAAGACCCCGAATAGCTGCAACGATCCTGAGAAAGAACAAAGTAGGTGGGATCTCAATGCCAGATATCAAGCTGTATTACAAAGCCACTGTTCTCAAAACTGCCTGGTACTGGCACAAGAACAGACATATAGATCAGTGGAATAGAATAGAGAGTCCAGAAATTAGCCCGAACCAATATGCTCAATTAATATTTGACAAAGGAGGCAAGAACATACAATGGAGCCAAGATAGTCTCTTCAATAAATGGTGTTGGGAAAATTGGACAGATATATGCAAGAAAATGAAACTAGACCACCAACTTACACCATACACAAGAATAAACTCAAAATGGATAAAGGATTTAAATGTACGACAGGAAACCATAAAAATTCTAGAAGAATACAAAGGCAACAAAATCTCAGACATATGCCAAAACAATTCCTTCACTGATACAGCTCCTAGGGCAGTTGAAACTAAAGAGAAAATGAACAAATGGGACTACATCAAAATAAAAAGCTTCTGCACAGCAAAAGAAACCATCAACAAAACAACAAGAAAACCCACCTCGTGGGAAAACATATTTGCCAACGTCATATCTGATAAGGGCTTAATCTCCAAAATTTATAGGGAACTCATACAACTTAACAAAAAGAAGATAAACAATCCAATCAAAAAATGGGCAAAGGATCTAAATAGACACCTTTCAAAAGAGGACATTCAGAAAGCCAAGAGACATATGAAAACATGCTCAAAGTCACTAATCATCCGAGAGATGCAAATCAAAACAACAATAAGGTACCATCTCACACCTGTCAGAATGGCCATCATCAACAAATCAACAAACGACAAGTGCTGGAGAGGATGTGGAGAAAAAGGAACACTTGTGCACTGCTGGTGGGAATGCAGACTGGTGCAGCCACTATGGAAGACAGTATGGAGTTTCCTAAAAAAATTGGAAATGGAACTCCCATTTGACCCTGTGATCCCACTTCTAGGAATATATCCCAAGGAACCAGAAACACCAATCAGAAAGGATATATGCACCCCTATGTTCATAGCAGCACAATTCACCATAGCTAAGATCTGGAAACAGCCTAAGTGCCCATCAGTAGATGAATGGATTAGAAAACAGTGGTACATCTACACGATGGAATACTATGCTGCTGTAAAAAAGAAGGAACTCTTACCATTTGCAACAGCATGGATGGAACTGGAGAGCATTATGCTAAGTGAAACAAGCCAGTCAATGAAGGAAAAATACCACATGATCTCTCACTCATTCATGAATAATAAAGACCATTACAAACTTTTGAACAATAATAGATACAGAGGCAGAGCTGCCTCAAACTGATTGTCGGACTGCAGTGGGAAGACCAGGGACGGTTGGGGGACAGGAGGGAGGGGGGTAAGAGATCAACCGAAGGACTTGTATGCATGCATATAAGCATAACTAATGGACATAAGACACTGGGGGGTAAGGGAGGGCAGGGGATTGTCAAGGGCGGGGGGGAAAAAGGACACATATGTAATACCCTTTGTAATACTTTTAGCAAAAAATAAAAATTAAAAAAAAGAAGTTAAATGATGGCATATGTCTCCTGGGAAGATAGAAAGGGAAGGTATCCAGGATATAGGTGAAGAGATTAGCCTTTAATGAAAGGAAGGATATTCCTCCATAGTAACATTAAGAAAGAAGAGGGTAGTCAAAATTTCCACAGTCTCTAGGTTTGGAGGTAGATCTGTATAGATGGTGAGGACCTCTGCTGAAATTTCTGGGGTGAGAGAATGATTGGAGAGAAGTTTGAGGAGGCCATTTATAATCAAGTTATCAGAATGTTTTTGTTTTTATTATAGAGCACCCCTATGGTTACTAAAGGATAGTGTAGTAGTGGTTAAGACAATGGGATCAAGAACAAGAGTTTCTGGTATGAACCTTAGTTCTAACATCAGCTAGTTGTATGACCTTGGACAAATCCCTTACCTTTTTTCAGTTTTAGTTTCCTCATCTATGAAAAGGGGATCATATTTTTACTTACCTCATAATTTTGTTATGAAAATAAATTAACATGTACGAGGGACTTAGGGCAGTGCCTGACAAGCATTCTGTAGTGTTGCTTTCATTATTAAGACTCTTCAAATATCACCTGAGTTAGTTTATTATATTATGTGGCGATGCAAAAGGCAACTATTAGCAATGATGTTTTTCTCCAAAAGTTGATATTTTAATTTTAGTTTTCTACCTGAAGTAAATTTCAATAGGTACTGGTACATAGGTTTGTACACATATACACAATCCCAAGAAATTGGTAAATAGCAATATATCCCAGTTGGGAGAACTCAGTCCATAGAGGATGGAATTGCGAGTGGTTTCTAATAAAGAGCCTAGAGGATTGTGTCCTGAGCCCTAGAGTGATCCTTTTCTAAATCCAGCATCAGAGACAATACCACCAGTTGAGGTTTCGAGTTCTATTCTTACACTCTTCTCTGTCTTTTTATAATTTAGGAGGAGGAAATGTTCACATCTGTGGCTGGAAACATCAATGATTTTTTTAAGTGAAGGCAGTGGAACTCTTTCTTTCCAGAATAACTTTGGAAATATCCACAAAACATCTGGGTAAGTTCCATAGAAGGGGGCCTTCAAGTCAAATAAACAAATGTTTGCTCCCCACATTCACTTCAAGAGCATTGTGCCAAATTAGTAACTTGAATATAAAGGTTTAAACAGTGAAGAAAATTTTCTTCATTTTAAAAGATAGTGCCAGCTTGGGGAGAGTATATGAGAACAAGCAATTAAATGCGAGTAGTCAATATGGCCCCTGGACTGTCACACTTTACTAATACATTCTGAGTTAGTGAAAAGTCTATAGATTGCATGAACATAATAAGTCAGTTTATTATTTTCAGTAAATTCTGTACACATGAAATGGTTAAATGTTGTCTAGCAGAGGTCCTACCAGTCCTGATCGTGCTTGATTTATGATTAGTGTATTTATTTGTTAGTATGCAAATCAGTACTGTTGTAGTATTTGAGAGGAAAAAAATGTGTTGTTAAATAACTGCAACATTTCTCCTGCAATTTTGCTGCAACTATTCATTAGTACTGCCAACTTCTTTTTTTTTTTCAGAGTACAAAGTTAAACTGCAAACAAGCAGAAGTTCATGAATTTATACAATGTCAGTCCAGTTGTGTTAGACTGCGAAGGTGATATGAAGATGTGGCAGATCTTTGAGTAAGTAGCAAGTATGTAAAATGGATCCCTCAGCAACATAGATAAGGAACAACTTGGAATAAGCAAAGACAACGCTTCACATTTTATAAGCCCATTTGCTCTCTTTTGGACTTACATATATGTGACAAAAATACTTTGGCATAAAGATTCAAAATACAGCTCCATCACTTACTAACTTTGTGACTTTGAGCAAGCTCTTATATGCCTAGAACACAGATGATGCTCTTCACAAATGTGAATGCATAAGCAGTATAGTGGCAATATAGCACAGAGGTTAAACAACAGAGCTCTGAAATCAGACTGAGTTCAGAATTTTGACTCTACTACACTACTATGCATCATTTTTATCAGGTTATTTAATCTCCTTAATATTGATTTCTTTCTCTGTAAATGAAACATCTTATTAGTAGTCCTACTTAACCCAAAGGATTGCAGTGACTACTTAATAAGAAAATCCACTTAAAGCATTTAGCAGAGGGTCTGCAACATAGTAAGCCCTCAAAAAACTCTAGCTCTTTTACTTTGTTTTGTTTTGGACTTAGGATGACATTTTATTTCAGTGAGGGTTTCTCCCTGACAGTTTTCACCTGATGTAACTATAAAACTTCCAAATTTCAAATAATAAACACTAGTTCTTAAAGTGTTACCCCTAAACTTTCTTCATTTTGGCTTATGCCCAATCAACTCCACTTTAAATGGCCTTGTTAAAGACATTAAACGTTACCTCTGTATTGTTTAATTCAGTGAACATTTCTATGTGACTTTTCAGCAGCATTTAATGCCCATAACTAATTTCTCCTTGTGGAAATGTGAAAACAGAAGTTTAAGAAGTTGCGAGGAATACTTATTACTTTAAAGATTAAATTTTGGATCAGGTATTGGAAGGAAACAGACATCTTTGTCTCTGGAACACTGAAACATGATCAGCTTAACAATCACATGCACATTGAATGCTCAACTGCCCAAAGACAAGGCTAGATTATATATTCTTTGAATGTTTCTTTTTGCTGTCAGAGTCTGAGATTTTTCCAAATTAGTGATGATAACAGCTACTATTTGTGCAGCAATAGCTAAAATACAGATGTGGGAATTTTACATGTGTCTGTGCAATCCTCACCAAAATGTGTGCATTCTCCACATTTTAAAATTGATGAAATAGACTCAGAAAAGCACAAATAATAAGGTCATGAAGATAGTTAGTGGTAAATCCATAATATTCATTTATTCAGTCATTCTTATATAAATCCAACCAATGTTTATTAAGCACCTACTATGTGCTGGGCGCTGTCTTTAGCAATGGTGTACAGCATTGAACATAATAAGTAAAATGTATAATGTATACCCTTGTAGAACTTGTATTTTAGTAGGCAGAGAATATGACCCAGGACTATGTGGTTCCAAGATCTTATTCAGTTCTATAATCTAGTACAGTGTACTCTGAATGGCTTTAGTGTTATGTTACCATTTCACAGTAAAGTTGAACTTTTGTCATTTTTAGATACTATAGAACCATGCGTCAAGGAAACCGAACTGTCTTTGAATTCTTCCTCCTGGGACTCTCAGCAGGTTCTGAACGCCAGCCACTCATCTTTATGCTGTTACTGTGCATGTATCTGGTCACCATGGTAGGAAACTTACTTATCATCCTAGCCATTATCAATGATGCTC